GGTTCAGGACAGGATGGCAGAGTGTATCACTCAAGAAAGCATCCAGTGCAATCTTAGAACTATTTTTCACTATCAGCAAGCCACTGTGCCATTTTAATAGCCATTAAGCAGAAAAGGCAACTTTTAATCACAGTGACAAGCCGGAGATAATATTGTGTACAGTGCTGATGGGTTTGAAGACTTGAATTAGCTCTGTCTCTCCCACCAGCCAGCACTGGGGTTTGTCTGCTTTTCCTATCTGCATGTTTTTCTTTCCCACAGTTGATCTTGAGCAGGTATTTGAGCTGGATTCTCTGGAATACCTGGAGGCCCTGGAATGTGTGACTGAGCGTTTGGAAAACCGTGTCAACTTCTGCAAGGCCCATCTCATGATGATCACCTGTTTTGACATCACCTCTAGACGCCGATAAAGTATGAACCTCAAGAGAATTCCAATGTGCATCTCTGCCATCCTCCTTTTCCCATCTGAATAGCATCCCAAAGACAACAGAATGAGGATGAAGGTTGGAGTGAAGTCTCAACTGTGTGTATGAGAGATTTGCTATACTATACAGAAGAGTAGTATTAAAAAACCCCAGGATGAGCATGGAAAAATGGCAATAAAAGGTTGTTGATTCTCTTAGCCTAAAAGAGCACTTTGAGGAACCTTTAAGGACATGTCTGTAAATAAGAACTGCTGGCAGAAGATACGTCTTTCCCTGCGCTAGCCGAGGGAGGAGGAAAGGTGGTTATAGGACTTAACTGAGAGGTTCATTAAAAAAAAAACCTATCCAGAAAAACTGTTTAAGTGCCTTGCAAATCTTTATTATCCAAACATTTATGTTCATACTTTATTGTGTACAGATGGTGCTAGTCAAGAAAAGAAAAAGGAAAAAAAAAACAAACACACTTTTGAAATGTATTTACAGCTTGTTTTTCTCTTGGTGTTTTCTCCTATTTCAGACTTGCCGTTTCTAAGTAACTTGTGTTTGTAGAGATATTTCCTAATCAGTACAACATATGAATAAATGTTAACTGTCTTTTCTTGTTACCAGAGTAGGGCCACTCAAAGAGAAATGCAACTTCCCCAAATGACACAAAAATATTTCTAGCAGTGAGTAAGGTTTGCTTATATGTTCTTCTGTTATCTTACATGCTGGATCCCATCAATTGGTTGGGGGTTTTTTTCATGTATTTTTAGCTTCATACTGCCTAGAGTTATGGATGAGGAGGCACTTTTATCCTAACCTATTTTCTGGTGCTAAAACTTGCTGGAAAATTACTCTTTAGGCTGAGGGCTCCCATGCTTATCAGTCCAAAAATGAGTGATATATGCTGTCTTTCTTTCTTGAGACTATGACCGATAAAATTTGGCTTTGCCTCTTTTTGACATACACCATTGCAAAATACGTTTTGTCAGCTTTTGGTCCCTAGCCAGTCTGTCCATAGTCACAGACATACCTGAGAAGTGCAGGCTCTGCTCAGCTCAGCACATCTGGAACTAAGTGGGAGTCGTGAGTGAGGGGATATAGCACTTCAGGCATGTTGTCTATGGCATTTTCATTACCAGCCCTCCAGTACTGAAGCCATGGCAAAATTCACATTGACATCAAAAGGACAAGGGTCTGCACCTCAATGCATATCCAAATGTTCTACTTGTTTGCCTTTTTATTTACAAAACAGTATGTGGGAAGGAACATCCTTTGTATTTCTTAAAGAAATGTGTGAAATCTGCATTGTAATTATGTATGAGCTTAAGAAATTATTTTGTTGAATTAGGTTTCTTCTTCCACATTGAAATAAGCTTTTTCGCAAAAATTCTCACATACAGTTGTGCTACCTTCTTGTTGCTTATGAGAAAATAAGAGCACCATTTAACATATACTCAACATGGCACCAGTTTACTGCTGTACTTGAATGCAACTCTTCTTTTACATGCACCATCATATTAATGCTATCTTACAATAGCCTAAGCAGCAAGTTCCAGTGGGAAAATCACCCAACGAGAATGCAGATAGATTTTCTAGTGTCTATCTATCTGAAGCCTGCCCCCACTTATTTAAAAAAAAAGAGATAGAAATATAATTTTTATTTTTCTTTTAATACTCTACAACTTGTAATAACAAATCTTTCTCAATCTATTAGCTTTTCACTGGATTTTGAAGATCCTTCTTACATTCGATAGGATTATTTGGAGGGAAAAAAGGTCCTGTTTGACAATTGCTTTCTAGTCCATTCCACATCATTTTCCTATCACGAAACTTATATTCCAAGTAAGAATTAAAGATACAGGTCTGATCTCTCTCCCATTCTCTCTCAAGGCAAAAAAACTTCTGAAGAAAAACACCAAACAACACTATCTAGCTTTGTTTCTCTTTGTAATGATTTCATAGCACTTGTTACGTATTGGTTCTGTTAAGGCCATCTCCTCTCTACAGAGCCATGGGAATTACCCCTACAGTTTTGTGCTGTGGCCTTAGTCCTGCGGAGCCCGAGGTACACGCTGCCAGGTCACACACACACAGAAGAGAGACTTTCACAGCCAGCTCCCATCTCACTCACCTGTGTCCCCCGGTAGGCCTGTATGGCTCCCACCTGTGACACTGACATTGCACAAAGCCTATGTCCAAGGCCATGCGCCCACATTCAAGGAACAATACCCCCACCTACCCCCAAGTTGTGCACATGAAATTAAATGTTGCCTTCTTTAAGCTTAAGCATTTCTGAAAATGTTTGCTGGAAGGTGGTCATTCAGTAATTGGGGCACATTGTCTTTGCTGAAAACAAGCAGCTCAAAATGGGTATGATGGGCTCCCTGGGGACCTGCAGTGAGATGGTGAATGACAAGCAGTACAGTAAAAGTGGACATACACTTGATAGAAAGTAAAATCATAGCAAATGGTGCATGCACAGAATACACTGTTAAAAAGAGATGCCCTCTCACATAGGCTGGGATTTATACAGAAGTGGTGATACTTCTATAAATCAAGTGGACATATTTCAGAACTATTGTAAAATATATATTATGTGTAATATTCCTCAGCATCATTAACTCAATTATTCATTGTCTCTAGGTTTGGTACCTCTGTAGATAAGAAAGCATAGCAAAAAGCATAGCAAAAAGCATAGCAAAAAGCATAGCAAAAAACCTCTATCTAGCCATTTTTTTTTAACAGTAAGAGCATATGTTTGTCCTGTTCATCATGACGGACCAAAATTGATTCCTGAAAACAAGTGGATTATGCCAAGGATGAATTCAGCATACTGAAAATTATGAAGTAACTGAGCAGAATCACAGTCCTTACAAATATTTTATTTCTGAGGTCTTAATTAGAGTAGCCATTAACACTCCCATCATATACTAGTATTCATATCTTAAAATCCAGACTCCTCTTTTTTGACTTTCTGTCAATGCATTTCAGAATTTGCCACTATGATTTTAGAAATTATGGTGGCTTAATGCATAAAAGGGAATGAAAATTTGTGGAGATTTGATATTTATGAAATATTTTCTTGTTGAAAATAGATTTTAACTTCAGAATTTATATTATTTTACTTCAGCTATCCAAAAAAGATAATTAAAAGCATCAGGACCTTATTATGAAATTGATCTTAGTTTGCAGTAGCCAGCATTTACAGAAGACCCACACACTTCTGCAAGTCATCCAGGTAGCCTCATTCTTTAAGCAACTGCCAGTGTTATGCTGTCTTCATTGCAGATTTTTTAAAAGATCATCAAGTTGCTCAAAATACACAAGAAAAATGTGAATGTAATGCTTAATCGTTTGTATATTCAGAAATCAATCTTGTTTCCCTGGGGCAGCTTTAGTAGCAAACAGCAATGTTAGCATAATTAGGTTTGAAGGTTAATTCTTTGCTCACTTGTGTAGCAGGAGATCACAGTTCTTTATTGTCGGGCTGTGTAATGAATACCACCACTGCTCTGCTCTGCACTGCTGTGCACATGGGCAGCTGGGGGTAGTTTGGGCCTTGTTTGGAGAACTGCTTTTCTTGGCATATGTGAACCTTATCTATACAAGGGACAGAAGCTGCTTTATAGCTCCAAATTCAAATGCCTGTATTTGCCTCAGAACAATTTGTTGGCAACTTGTTCAGATCTAAGCAATTCAAAGTACTATTTCACAGAAAGGCAAGGAAGCAAACCCATATTCAGGCTTTTCTTTCTTGAGTCTTTATTGGGCCTGTTCTCATCTCACCTGTGTTGGTATAACTGAGGCACAACTGCATTTTCAGGAGAGTTACATCAGAGTAAACTCAGTGAGGAAAATGGAAAAATTCATCCACCTGCCAATTCTCTGTCTATTTATTTACTGTGCTGTTAGTTATACAGTTGAAGATTATGCACCTCTTAACTATTTGATACCCCCTCAGTTTGCATTAAGGGCTATGCACAGGGCTACCACTGAACATCTGCTGGCCTTAATCCAATCTTGGAAGACTCCCACTGCCATATTAACCTAACTTCTGAAACTTGCAGCTGCATAAAATAGTAACTGGTAAAAAGCTATGGTGTGATCTTCTGACATGAAGCAAGGTAAGTGAGAGCTGCAGATAATGTACAGAAAAGGATGAAAGATACACGCTGGTATTTTTGTTCTTTTATCTCTGAACATGGCAATTATAGAGGCAGAAAGGTGGGACTCATGCTGGGAGTAAGGCACATCAAGTCTCAAGCTTGCTCACAGGATAGACTCAGTCTGTCTTGAAGTGTTTTTTTGTTACTTTTTTTGTTTATCTTGGTAATACAGTTTGTCTTAAAATAGTGATTCGTACCTGTGGCATGGAATTCAAATTTTATGACAGCTGAAGGATCTAGACCTTTTCACAAACATCACCTTTTACAAATGTTTATGATTTTTGCATCTTCTTTCTGAGCTGAAAATAATTGTAAAAATAAAGTGTATGTACATGGAGAAAAATGTGTGTGTACACAGCCTGAGGGAAACGGTCCCCTCACACATTATTGTGGGGAGGTGACATAGCTATTCAGAAATGGCAACAACATCACTCCCCCTTCCTCCTCCAAGGAGAACCTATAAAAGCTTTCTCCTTGCACTCACCAAGGTGACCTATACCACAGTATAGGGAAAACATATGCTTGAAACACTTTCGAAGGCTTCTTTTACATGTCCTTTTTTCCCCCATGTTCTTCAGCCTACAAAGCCAACTGGCTGCAGTTCCCATGTAGAGGCTGTCATTGAAATGTTAAAGCCTGTAAAAGTAAACCAAATGAACTGCTCTATATTTCAGAGTGTCAGGAATTTAAGGCAAGATATTTAACAACCCCAGCTGTTAAATACAAATATTTCTGCATATACATAAGGCATACAGCATAGTTACATCAGTTGAAAGCCTGTACTTCTAGCTATCTATGAGATAAAGCTTTCTGTCTAGTCCTAACAACAGCTTTAAAATGGTAAAAATTCTGCATTGCAGAAGCAAATATGATTCTCATAAACGGGAGGCTGAGTGACCCTCTGAATCCAGTTCATATGGGAGGGATGGTTGTGCAGCATCAGGGATGCACCAGCTCACCACAGAGATCAAAGCATTCATGTCACTAAATACTGATAGATGACCATACAGAGAGGCACCATTTCTCAAATCCACTGATGGGTGACATACCTTGCTTAATCCTGATGTCTTCATGGTCTTTGTTTTGTTACTCTGTAGGCTTTTGCATCAGGGACACCCAGCAGTTTTTGGAGACACAAGGCTGGCTGTTGAAAGCTGTCGCAAGATTTGAAATGGGTTTCCAAATAACCATGGCAAACAAAACTGTGTATGATTTGTCAGTGCAAAGTTAATAATCTCTATCATCTCTTGCATTTATTATGTGCTCATCACAGGTT